AAAGGCAGTTTCCAAGTGCCCACAAAGTAGGTTGTGACGTTTGACTTAACTATTGTTTCAATTGCTTTCGCTGCAGAGTTGATTGAAGTTCCTTTATTAGATGCCTCGCACTAGTGCGGGTATATAAAACGTTATTAGGTGATCCTAAAAAATCCGTGTAAGGGTATGTTTAACATTGTAGTGGGATAAACCAATTGCAAATATGGTGACGTAAACACGTAAGAGAGGCCTTTCAGTAGCAACGGTTGTTAAGGGTCATTTTCCATTTCCCTCTGCTTCACGAAAGTGTGTTATGTTTGGTTTTAGAAGCGTTTGTCTCAGAGATCTCTCGAGGAATTACCTAACTGTGGACAAAATGTATTTGAATGATCTTTTCTTTTGGTGTGATATATAGGTGTTTTGACACCGTTTAGTTTAAGCTGCCTTGCGTTCTAATCGGCTAAAACGAACGTAATTTATTTGCTGCTTAAATAACCGCATAACTAGGCAAAATGAGTTATGAATGGATCACGTGTGGACCTTAACACTCAAATGGAAAAAGAAAAACAGGGGAGATATTTAAATTTACGCTTAATACCTAAATATTTCGTCACACTTGATTGATTACGTCTTCATCTGTTTCCCAGCGCCCATGAAGTTTTAACAGCCTCTCAGAAAAGGCGTTGTAAACGTCAGTACTGATAACAGGGGTAGCACCCCCAGAACGCATACTATGCTAGTCATGGTCCTTCGAAGTAGTCTTAATATTTCCCTACAACTGGTATAAGATATAAGAAAAACAAAATAATATTATGAACAACAGTATTAATTTTTCAAGCCAAAGCATGGTAACATTATAACCTTGACCATAGTCTTGAGCATGGGTAGAGGCACGCAGAGAAATACTGCTTGAGTTGTGATGAACTTGTCACTCGTCTCTCTTAGACAGTAATATTTCAGATATTTTAGACTTTCAGTCAAGAAATGGCCTTACCGTCTTTGAATGTATCAATCCCTAGGCATAATAAGCTGGATTTTCAGTGTAAAACAGCTCTGAAGACGACTTTTTGGCACAGGCTGCAATCCATTTCTCTCTAAAGCCCCTCTAGAGACCTCACTGCAAAATTTCAGAAGTTTGGGCTATAAGCAATCATGTTAGTATCGCTATTTATCGGCAATGGACCTCCTTTGTCATGTTACTGTGCAGCAGTGCTTATGATTTCAATACTCACAGTGTACAATATGCAGCTATTTTGAGAACGGTTGTCAGAAAAAGAGCATGCGACAGTGCGGAAAGGTACTGTGGGTGGTTTTGAGTTCACTGTTGTCCAAAAAAATTTGAAAGTATGGCCGGAGAGGCTATGGATGTATGTTTGCGAGTGCTAAAGAAGAGCAACAAAAGTAGGTTCGACAGCTACTGTGTCAGGAACAGTGTATTGATCATATCCCATATTACCTTTTGGGATTGTCTTGTGCACATTTTCCCAACAACCTTTCTCGAAATAGCTGTATATAGACGACCTGACTAGTGTCAAATCCGATGAGCAACGACACTTAAAGCTCAAAAATCTACTTGAGGGGTAAGAAGCTGGCAAACTCTACAAAAATTCGAATCCACGAGGAGAATCAAGAAATATATTTCAATTTCTTCTAAGGGTGAGGGCTTGGGATCCATCACTTGTCAAGCATCCTTTAATGAACGACCGATATTTGCTTGTCAAAAGAGGCGAGAAACTGGATGAAGGCCATGAAGGAACTATAAGATTAGGTGTCGCTTTCTGTGTGCTCAGATAGTGGACATCGCGAGCAACAAGAGGCACTGGAGGAACCATTAAGCAATTCTTGGAGCCTAAATCTTGCCCAAAGAAGTCAATCCCTGACGCACCCATGCTCGAGAAATGCGAAAAGAATCTAGGGTATGTGGGCCGCATAACTCTTCTAAACTAATAAAGAAATCGCGAGTGATTTGCCAATCATCAAAGTCAACAAGGTGACTGATGTAATCCATCTTCCCACTTTCAGTTCACGGAAACCACCTCCAAGCGAGTGCTATGCTCTGCACAAAACTGGGAAATTGTCACAGCAAGCCTGTGTAAACCTAATTCCATGCTGTCTAGTTCTATGATTCTGGTAGCCGCCTGGCTATCAGTGGACCACTTGACAAGCGAACCCACCAAAACTGGCGCAAAAGACTCCAAATCACGCTTCCTCCAATTAGAGCTCCTTGGGGGTTCTGAAGGCTCCCAAAGCTTGTGACATACATAATCCTCATTAAGCGAAATAACAGAACCGTACCCCGTAACACTGGCATCGCAGTAAGCGAAATATTGTGGCTTTTTAATGAGAAAGCATCACCTGACCGTATCATGGGCGCAGGAATCGACCCATCAAGGTCGACTATTTTTTGAAGTTATGCGCTGAAAAGTTATTAGTTTTCAAACGATCGCGGACTCAAGTTCAATTTTTTAAAATGAATAGGAAATAAGTTGTGTTTATGAGCTGCACTTTTAAAATCTGGATTTCAAACTGACCTCTTACGCGAAAAATCAGCCAGCGCAGTTGCTTTTGACTTTTCTCACCACGATCACTCGTTGGTCATACTCTACCTCCAATTATCATGTTTTGATTGGTCAAAATTTGACAGGTGAGTTCATGCATAAAATTTATGTAGCGTCTGGAAACGTGTGTACTGATAGCTGAAACTGACAGAGTCTTGTGTCATCTTGTCATGTTTTTTTCCACTGGGTGTTCAAAATGAAATACAGCTGCTTTCAAGATTCTTCTGTTATTTATGGTTGGTTTGCTTATTGGGTTTCTGGTTGAGAAATGCGCTGCTTGTCAAAGTCATCGGAAATCCGATTTCAGGTGGCATCGTTTTCCTTTTCACCTTGCTTGATGTGTTGAAAAGTCTCAAGCGATTCCGGCCTAACTTGATGGCTTCCAGAAGCTGCATCTCAACTTCTAAGCTTGAGTAATTATTGTATTTGAAGTTTGTTTTTTTTCTTTCATGAAGGTTTCATGAAGTCGAGCGTAGTTCACGTGGCTATTTTATGCAGGTTTCTAAGATTTGAGACCGTGACGTGACCTAGTATCAGGTTTGACGTAAGCTTACAGAACTTAAAAAAGCCTTTATACATTTTCTGACCTCAAATAGAAAGAAAATGTTCTGAAGAATACTTAGCTGTAATTTTGGCTGTAAAAAGGAAGCTTTGAGCGATTTTCTTGCCCCTAGGTCATCTTGAAAAATAGTAAACACCGAGAAAGCGGCATTATTAAAAAACATTGAAACATTTTAATATGCATGTTTTTATGCTTATATGATATGCTTATGCCTATGCTTACATGACTGAGGATTTTTAGAGACACTTTAATCTCAGTGCTTGTCTTCGTGAATGGAAATTGTTATCTCTGCAAATTTTTCACCAAATTATATATATTTTTGATTGTTAGTAGTCTCTCTTACAATTTTAATTTCTGTGCCGGTTGTTTTCAGTCGTACATAAACATTGCTTGCAGGAGTACTCAAAATGCCGCTCGTTATTACCCTTAGCTGCACACCACATAGGAGCAGATTCTTCTGACTGAACAGTCCCAACATTATGGAATTCTCTTCATGAAAAGGTTTTATAATGTGGTCAATTCTGTAAATTGTAGTGTAAAGGAAGCGCATGCTACATTGTCCCGAATATTGGGAATTAGTGCAATTTGTTTTGCAAAATTGTGAAAAACTGCATTCTTTCCGAGGTCTGTATGATAAAAAAAAGACAGCGCCTCATAGTACTTTTTACCTCAGATGTGATGTATAAAAAGTATAAAAGGCCGGCTTACACGCCACCAGCGTTGGCAAGATTTTGTAAAATAAACTTGTCGCACACCAAAAATTCCGCCTGATTATTTATTTTGGCCTCCCTTTTAGACAAAGGAATGCAACATGATTTACAACGTGTAAATTGGCCGCCACTGAGGACTATTGTGTCATAACCGGCCTTTATAGCATAAAACTAAATTTCGGTGCTGTCCAATTAACCCTATAAAATAAATGTGGTGTAGGCAGGCGACTGGGTTATTTTGTTTGCAAAGAATTTGTTTTCCAGGCGTGATCTACTGTGATCAAGAGCCATTCTAGTTGACTGTGATCATTATATTTTAGGCTTTATTGTTATATTTTAGGCCTTAAATGTGATTTTGCAATTTTAAATGTATAATAGTTCATGAAAATTCTTCATGTAAATTAATTTTTTAAGATACAGGGCCCCTATGGAGACCAGCCTTAGAGCTGAATGGGCTACCCTGTGTAAATAAAGTTTCACTTTAATTTACTCTATGATTGCTATTATTTCGGTGTACATATCAGACTATAAACTCGATGTAAGATTGGTTTCATTCTTGGGCTTTTTGCAAGTTAGTTTTGACTAAAATGACTTAACCTTTCCCTCGAAGGTCACATGAAGTTAACTGATTTGTGGATTACGTGTGGTGTAAATGACATTGCAAACTAAACCTAGAAACTAGAAACACTTGAACACTGCGAGAGCTGTGTGACGTATCGCGTTACATTATAATTCGTTGTATATGTAGTGTAATTGACTTTATTGTATGAGCCTGCAATCCTCTTGGTTGCAGTTTGCCGCCATGTTTGTGTTAGTAAGAGATTTGGTGATTAAAGCCTAATATTCTCCAGGCAAACATCTTCCCTTGTTCACAACAATTTAATCACCAATCTCAATGGACAAAGTACTCCGCGGGAACGCCTGGAGACGGACCCTAACAGTGGCGAAGCTTCGAAAGAATGGCTTCATTGGAAACGAATATTCGATAACTTTTTGGCTGTCCTACCACAAACAAACCTCGATAAGCTCTCGGTATTGGCGAACTTCATGTCCCCCTCAATCTTTCAACACATCGAGGAGTGCACCGACTATGGAGCAGCCGTGGGAATATTACCAGCACTTTTTGTGAAACCTTGAAATGAAATCTTTGCCCGCCATATACTTGCGACGACGTGTCAACAACCTCACGAAATGCTGGATGAATTCCTTCAATCTCTGAAAACACTTAGCAAGGATGGCAACTTCCAAAGTGTCTCTGCTTCTAAATATCGTGAAGAAAGCATCCAGAATGCTTTTATTACTGGGTTACGGTCACCTTCGATCCGCCAGAGGTTGTTGGAGAATAATACGCTAGATTTGAAGACAGTGTTTGATCAAGCTCGTTCTCTGGAGTTGGCGATGCGTAATTCCGAATCCTACTCTAGTCTTCCTTCATCTGTCAATGCAGCAGTTCCACTCGCCACTACTGAGGATCAGGAGCAGATAGATCCCGGCACGCTAGCTGCAGTAGCATCAGGTGCCTCTACTTGTTTCTTCTGTGGAAACAGTAAGTGATGCAGTTTGCTTTAAATGTCAGAAAAAGGGCCATTTTGCAAAAGTTTGCCGTGGAAGGAAAATCAGCAAGAACAAAGTTTCAGCTGCAGCCTGGTCTCCCACACTTGCCACAGTGGATGCCCTGAATCCCTTTCAAAGTCTTTGGGAACTGTTACTATCAAAGGATTGGAAGTCAAAGCCCTCTTTGATAGTGGTAGCACTGAAAGCTTTATTCATCCAAGGTTGGTGGAGAAAGTATAGCTCTTACCGTTCATCCTTCATCTGGTACAGTATCCATGGCTACCTCAGTATCTAGTACAATTAGTATCACTGGTACCTGTGCCGTTAATCTCTCCGACCAAGGACGCAAATATGCAGGCTACAAACTGTCCGTCTTGCCCGGACTTTGTGCTGACCTAATCCTTGGTCTTGATTTCCAATCCCAGCATGCGAGTGTCACTTTTCATTACGGGGGCTCTGAAGCACCTTTGGCCATCTGTGGTTTTAGGAAACTGAATATAGATCCACTTGAGCCGTTTGTGAATCTGACTGCAGACTGCCATCCAATTGCCTCGAAGTCTCGAACATACTATCAAGAGGATTCCACCTTTGTTGATAAGGAAGTGAAAAGATTACTCAAAGAAGGCATTATAGAAGCAAGCCTTTCACCATGGCGTGCACAGGTCGTTGCGACTAAGGATGAAAATCACAAGAAGAGGCTAGTGATCGACTACTCGCTAACAATTAACCGATTCACACCTCTAGAGATGCTTTCCCATTGCCCAGAAAAAGCGACATGGTCAACAAGGTCGCCCACTACAGTCTTTAGCACCATTCATCTTCGAAGTGCATATCATCAAGCGCCACTTAAGGAAGAAGACAAGCCTTACACAGCCTTTGAAGCTCGAGGCAATCTCTATCAGTTCACCCGCCTGCCCTTCAGGGTCACCAATAGCCTATTTTCCGAGAGAGATGATGAAGTTTGTAGATGAGAGTTGTCTTGAGGCGAGGTTCCCCTACCTTGACAACATTACTATTTGCGGCAAGGACCAAGAGGATCATGACGCTAACTTTAAACAGTTTCTTGAAGCTGCAATATGCAAGAACCTCTGTTATAACACTGAAAAGTGTATTTTCTCAACCCGTTGTCTCCCCATCCTTGGATACATCATCTAGGAGGGTACCATACGACCAGATCCTGGTCGTCTACGACCCCTTCGCAAACTCCCCATTCAACACAACTGAAGGTCCATGACCAGGTGTCTCGGATTATTCTCCTATTATTCACAATGGATCCCAAGTTTGTGAGATCGAATCAAGCCAATTGCCTCTTGCAAGACATTCCCTCTGCCCCCGCAAGCTGCTGAAGCATTTGAGAGTCTCAAGAAGATGATAGAAGACGCTGTTGTCACCGTTGAGACCATTCCCTTTGAGGTGGAAACCGATGGGTCCAAGGTAGCACTAGCTGCCTTCTTCTCACGAACTCTTCAAGGCAGTGAACTGAAGCATGCATCCATAGAGAAGTAAGCCGAGGCCATAATAGAAGCGGTGAGGCATTTGAGACACTTCCTTACTGGAAGACACTTCATCCTGAAAACTGACCAGAAATCAGTGTCCTACATGTTCGACAAGCATCACAGATTGAAGATAAAGAACGAGAAATTCTTGCATTGGAGACTGGAACTCTCCTGCTTCATTTTTGATATTGTCTATCGCCCTGGTAGAGATAACGTCCCAGCTGACACTGTCCAGGGCTACGTGCGCCATGGCCACTGAAGATTCCCTCTTCAAGCTTCACGAGGCTCTCTGCCATCCAGGCGTCACCAGACTAAACCACTCCGTGAGAACCAAGAACTTACCTTATTCCCTCAATGAGATTAAGAAAATGACAAGCAGGTGCCCTGTTTGTTGTGAATGCATACCTCAGTTCCATCGCCCAGAGAAGGTTCCCCTTATCAAAGCCACTCAGCCATACGAGAGGATCAACATCGACTTCAAAGGCCCCCTTCCGACGAATAACGGAAACAAGTACTCCCTTATGGTTCTTGATGAGTACTCCAGGTTCCCATTTGTTTTCCCATGTCCTGATGTGTCTACGAACACAGTCGTTAAGTGCCTTACATCGCTGTTCTCACTTGTTAGAATGCCAGCATATGTCCATTCAGACCGCGGAGCTTCATTTATGAGCAGAGAGTTACGCGAATTCCTGTCTTCGAAAGGAGTGGCTTCAAGTTGAACTACCAGTTACAACCCAGAAGGAGACCGTCAAGCAGAGAGATGCAATGGCGAGATATGAAAAGGAGTTACTATGAGTTTGAAATCCAAGAACCTACCACTCAAGAACTGGCAAGATGTCCCCCCTGATGTGCTACACTCTGTCCGTTCTCTTTTGTGTACTGCCACCAATGAAACTCCATATGAGCGATTGTTTGGTTTCTCATGCCGTTCACCTGCTGGCGCCTCCATTCCCACCTGGCTAGCTACACCTAGGCAAGTGTACATTAAACGCCAGGTGCGCACATGTAAGATGGACCCTTTGGTGCATGAGGGTGGACAGGGTGAATGTGGTGTGACATTGCGAACTAAAGCTAGAAACTAGAAACACTTGAACACTGCAAGAGTTGTGTGACGTATCGTGTTACATTATAATTCATTGTATTGTATATGTAGTGTAATACGACTTTATTGTATGAGCCTGCAATCCTCGTGGTTGCAGTTTGCCGCCATGTTTGTGTTAGTAAGAGATTTGGTGATTAAAGCCTAATATTCTCCAGGCAAACGTCTTCCCTTGTTCACAACATGTTTATTGTTTGATTTAACTGATAAATTTATTAATTAATGGGAGCTTCGCTTTTAGCCCTGGCTAAATCTATATATTAAAAGTAGAAAGGCTGTTCAATTCCGTTGCACCTGTAATATTAAATGATCTTTTTGCGACCTCTAGGTTCACTTTTGGGATATGAATATCATTACAGCGTCTTAAGTTATTACGGAGAGTACGGACGCATTTCAATTAAAATAATTATTTAAATAGGGTGGAACGGAACTGTCGAAGCGTTTTCTTATTAACAAAACGATTGGAAGCTTACGCCTATTAATCAAAGGCTTTAGACCCGAGGTAGCATTTAGTTCTTTCTATCCTTGTGTACAAAACAATGAGACGGCGGCCATGTTAGTGTACAGAAATTTCCTTTGTTCAAAGAAATTTGCATAGCTGTCGAGAATTGTCTTGGAGAAAAAAAAAAGGTTTCGAGAAAACGAGGTTCCTTAGGCTAAAGGAAAGGGAGAGTGACCCTTAGCAACTGTTACCTCAGAAAGGCCTCGCTTTCGTGTATACGGTAAAACATTTGCTGTCGGTCTATTCGAAAGCATTTTTTAAAAAAAGAGTATAGTCTTATTCACTCAGGTCGGAGATTGATAGTCCGTGAGTAGCAATTAAATTACTTTGAAGCGTCTGTCCTTTTAAACTTTAAATAACGTAAGTTAATTGCCTCAGATATTATCCGTGTATTCTGCAGTAACGTAGATGTAGATCATTTATTATTTTTTATTTGTTTATTGTTTTTGAATGAAGTATTTGATGTACATCGTAGTCAACATGGTATTTCTATCTTACATGACGTGGCAGTTTGGTTCAAAATGTGCTCTGATTTTTAAGATAAATATCGGTTTCATCGGTTTTTTTGGTCCTATTTTTCAAGGGTTATATTGGATGCATTTTCCAACCCCGACCCTAGTAAGAAGGATAATGCTGCTGGTATTCAAATGCTTGGAACCATTGCTGCTAATGGTCTTTCACCAATCGCTAGTGATTCCACAGTGGATGAAGACAGGTAAACAACAAAATATCAGTCCTTTGGTTTATTTAATAATGCTTACCCAAGTAGGAAATTTAAGGTGTCAAAGTGTTTTAGGTTCAGGATTGCGTGAGACCTTGGGCATCATATGTGCTGTGAATTGTCTTCACTAACCTAGGAAACCTACCTGCCTATGTGAACAACAAAAACAACCAGTGATGCGTATACTAGAACAATCGTCCGTAAGCGTACTCAAAATCGTTGATTTTATTTATCAGAAATCTTACTCGGTCACAGAGCTCACTCGTTGGATTTCTGATACGTCAACATCTGTTTCGTAAATACCGTACAGGTGTACTTTCCATGAAGTGCTCTATATATGCGACGGACCTCTGAAGTTCATTGGTAACATTCCGCAGTAACCGGAATAATTGACATAGTTGCTTGGGTAGATGTACTTTAGGTGCAGTGGCTCGCTGTTTCACCTTCAAACTGCCACTGACCACTGGGAACTAACCAGGTAAATTAATAATTCGCAGATTCTACAGATGTCTCGTAAATAATCTAGCATTTAAATACAAAGATGTCCATGCTGCTGCAGCTGAAGTAATTGGACTTCTATTGAAGAATTTGGCCGAGGTGCAGAAGGTGAGACATGATACTGTAATAAGGTTGTGTATGAAGATATCAACTACTTCAACCAAACTACCTTAAAGGCAGATCTAAGAAAGTACTTCTTAGCCCTTGTGGTGGTGCTAAAAAACTGTCAACTATGTTGGGGCCATATTCCAGATCTGCACTTGATGACGTAACTGAAAATGAACCACAGCATTCATGTGCTAGGGCAGCTTTCAAACTTTATGTTTCACTAAAGGCGTGGTTTGACGTGATATCTTAGAATGGAGAGGTTGCAATTTGCTGAAGGTAATGGTAAGAACGTAAGGATAACGCTAGATATGTGTCATCTTTAGACTTATATCTGTAGGCTTTAAAGTGAAAAAGGCTTATTATATTATTATTAATTTTTCGTATTGCACACCTTTTCCGTAGGTATTTGATGGTGCCTTACATGATATGGTCAGTGAGAAGCTTTTGTCTTTAATAAACACATCAAACCCAGAGGCTGACAAGTTCATCACCTGTATACACAGGTTGCAACTCAATTATCCTCCTATTGTTGACAGGTACCTAAGTCTTCAAATTTATTTTTCAATCATTCTGGGTGCCATAACTCATTCTCTAAGTTGTTCCTTTAACGGTTAAATTTTTTTAGTTAAAAAAATTGTAGTTAACAAGGAAAAGCTCAGGTCAAATGTCAAACTTCATATGTGCTGACATTAATGCTAATAAGCGATTACATAGAGGATATTACATGGCCTAACGGAGGTGCGAAATTTCTTTTCAAGTGTTGAAAATATTTCACGAGTGAGCGCAGTAGTAGATCTGGAGTTGCATACACTTAATGGTTAATCTTTTGCGTATCTTTAGGGTTAGAGCCAGTTCTAGTCTAGTGGTGCATTCAACCAAGTATTTTAAACACTCCTTTCAATCGGGCGTTGCTCTAGTTTCTCCCCAACGTAAGGGGGTGTTGACATGACACCGGGGTGACTTTCGCACTGGAGCGAGTTCACTCCGGTTCCCTCTCCTGGTTCTACATTTGTTTACCTGATACCACCACCAAATGCCATGCCGTAGCCAGGCCCCCCTGGGGTGAGTTCACTTCAGTTGTTGTACCGGGGCGAGAATGTCACTCTGGTACGAAATCTCGGAAAGATATCATGTAAATGCGAAACGACCACACATCTGCCGGTAGACTGGAATGGGTAGCGCATGCGTAATGTTTGCGATTTTGAATCACAGATGTATTTTATTAACATGAGGTGTACCTTCACATAACGACATATGAAATGACCCTGTCATCATGTAAACGTGAAACGAGATCAAAAAGTCATCCTGGTACGAAACTCGCGCCAGTGCGAGTGTTTTCATGTAAACACCCTTTAAGTCTCTGTGTTGTTTGCTTTAGGGCTCCCAATTCCCAAACATGATTTAACAGCAAGATACTAAATTTTTGCAGCAGATATAGACAGACCCGCTCATATATTTCTTCTTTGAGAGTCAAGTGCATTTTAGTGGGTGATTATTTTGGAAAGTCCACTTCGAGAGCACATCGAAAATTGGTCACGCGTATAAACTATGTTCACTTGTGATTATTTTTTAATAACTCACGGGTCTCACTCGTGTTTATTATGAATGACTCACAGAACTCACTCGCTCACTTGTAATTTTAATAAAGCGTGAACGTGTTCATAGTGTGTGATATTTATTCTAAGTTTCATGCTGAAACTCTTTTAAGTCCCAACACAGTCCCTACATAATTTTCGAACTCTTTTTTAAGCCCCTACACAGTCCCTACATATAAATAGAAAGTTCAAACCAACTTAATTGCAGACTTTTACTGCAATGAAAATCTCCATTGGAACATCACCAGCAGCATTTCCACCTATCTCAGCTGGGGAGTGGTGTAAAAAGAACTTTAAATCAAGAAACAAGAGAGGTCAAACGAACCAGACAAGATTTTGCTAAGAAAATAGACGAAAAAGGCATCCCTGAGCCGGACAGGGAAGATTCTATGTTGGAGGGGAACAGAGTGAATGCTTACTTCTACCTGAAAACAAAAGCCCAGAAAGTAAACCAAAAAGTCTTTTTTAAAGAAAGTATGCCAAGATTAGAAGCACGTTTGAAGGACGCCCTAAAAGAAAAGAAAGCCATCAAGTGGAGCCTTGTCTATCATTGTGATATGTCTATGCCAGATAAATACCGAAGCAAACCAATGCTGTATTCACCCCATTTCCGATTGGAACACCCCATCACCAGTACGTATCCAGAACAGCTTCAAGAACAAATTGATGCATCTATGGAAGTATTTCAAGAACGAATGTCTATTTTTGTGCAGGCCAGATCCTGTTGGACTCTCCATCAGAACCACGCTCTCATTCTGGAAATGGATACCTATGAGCCATTACAGGGAAGCTCCTACATTGAACTACCCAAAGACATTCTTCATACTAAAGCAGTGGTAAACATCAAGAATGAAGATTTGGAGTGTTTCAAGTGGTGCATTTTAGCTGCCTTACATCCCGCTTCAAACCATGCCGAAGGTCTTACCAACTATCAAGACTACAAGGAGGACTTAAACTTTGACGGAATTGAATTTCCTGTCCCAATTCATCAGATGTCCAAGTTTGAGAAACAGAATCCTGGCATTAGTATCACTGTCATTGGTATCACGAATGATAAAGAGGAAAAAAAAAAATAGGGCATGAAGGGAAAGAAAAATACCGTCCAAGAGTCCACTCTGATGAGTATGAGAGTTCCTGATAAGAAATTGCAAAATCATGTTACTTTGCTGCACTGGAAGAAAGGATTATGCCTGGGTTAAGAACTTTAACCCTCTTCTTTCAAGAGTAAACAAACACAATGGGCAGACGTATTTCTGTGAAAGATGTTTCCATGGATTTACCCGCCCAGATTTACTGGAGAAACACCAAGAAATGTGCCGTCATTTCCCTGCACAAGTGACTAAAACAGTGGACCAAGAAATCAAGTTCACCAGTTGGGCTAAAACTGAACCAACCTTATTCCGTCTCTATGGAGATTTTGAGTGTATACTCAAAGAAGAAGAAGGCACTGAAGAAGATGGCAAAACTAAGAAAGTACAAAAGCACACCCCCTGCCGGCGGTTTTGCTTGGGTTCTGATTTCTGATCATCCAGATGTCGAGTCACGCACAAAGCTGTACCGCCCCACACCAACCCCAGACATGTCTGTAGAAGAAGTCGGCGAACGAGTGGTGGATGAGCTAATTACAAGCATTCAAGCATTAGAAGAGGAACTGAAACCATTTCTAGCTGAAATTAAACCAGTAGACTCAACCAAAGACGAGGAAGCAGAGTTTCAAGCAGCTACACATTGCTATATGTGTGAGCAACCCTTCATAGCCGCATCCTATGAAATGGAACCAGCTGATGGTACTCCAGAAGAGCCAGAAATTAAAGAAATTAAAGAAATTAAGGGTTCGTAAAGCACGCGATCATAATCACGCCACTGGAGAGTACAGGGGGGCTGCCCACGCTAGTTGTAACATAAACAAGAAACAAGTCAAACATGTACCAGTCTTTTTTCATAATCTACGTGGTTATGATGGACATCTCATCATGCGTGGGATACATCGCCACTCTGGGAAGAAACTCAACAAGAAGAACAAGGCAGAGAACCGATGTAAGAACATTCGGGTCCTACCAAACAACATGGAGTGGTATGTATCCTTTCAACTGGGGAACCTGAGGTTCCTGGATTCAATCCAATTCTTTGGCCCAGGTTCAAGTCTAGATACCTTAGCCAGTAGAGAGTTTAAGCAAATCGCTACGGCAACCTCTACTATGGCGGTCGTGGATGCGGTGTCCTGGGGAGAGTTCGTCTCGTAGCTCGCCAAATTTCAAGCTCGGTTCTTGCTCACTTGCTTTTGCTATAATTTATCAACAACAGAATTCAATGGTGGTCAAGTAAGAAAACAGCCAATGTAAAAATTTCATTTGCCAAGAAGAATATTGATAGTAAACATCACCAGAGGACGATTTGTACTCAAAACAGAAAACTACAGATGAAGATCGGAGTAAGCTGCTAGTGATGTTTCTTCTTGTGTACCGCATTTAACAACAAATCAACAAATTCAGCGTTTTAGATATTCTATTCTATTCTTGTTTAAACAACCTTCAATGACATTTAGCTTTATTGCTAACAGTCGTGCTTATGGTTTTCGTCTAGCGTTTGTTTGTACTGGCGGATTTTCTGCGGCCATGGCGCGGAAGAACTCATGGCACGCTCGCTTAAGGATCGAAATCTCAAACTGAAAAAACGCAAGGAAAACGTATTCACTGGAAAACCAGAAGCCTCGAATACTTTCTTGATAAAGTGAAAAACAATCTATGATAGCTTTTAAAACCAGTGATCATAAAAAATAGGAGAAGAGTCGACTTTTATACTCACGTAGTAGCGACTACGCCAGAAGACAGCTCTTCACGTCGTAGGATTTGGCGCTACGGCGAAAGGTCATTTCCATGCATGCGCACTGCTTCATTTTGGGGCTTTTTTACTTCGGGCCGCCGTAGTAGAGGTCACCGTAGCGCTTTGCTTAAACTCCCTAGTAACTTGACAGAATTCCCTCACCTCCAGCAGCATTTCCCCCAAGTCTGGACCTTTACCAACCCTGAAGACATGGATTTACTCTACCAAAAAGGAGTGTATCCTTACTCCTACATGAACAGTTTCAGTAAATTTGAAGAACCAAGTCTTCCATCCAAAGATGCCTTTCTTAGTGATCTCACTAATGATGACATTTCCAAAGAAAAGTACGAGTTTTCTCAGACAGTTTGGAACACGACTGGGTGTCAATCGATGGGGGATTACCATGACCTTTACCTGTACTAAGACATTTTCCTGCTAGCTGATATCTTTGAGCAGTTCCGTCAAGTTTGCTTGAAAAACTATGATTTAGATCCCGCTCACTAACACACAGTACCAGGATTGGTATGGGATGCTTCTCTTAAGAAACCGGTGTGAAATTGCGCACTCTAACAGACAAGGAGATGCATATGTTCCTTGAGCGGGGAACGCGAGGTGGTATTTCTACGATCACTTACCGCTACGCCAGAGCTAACAACAAGTACCTGAAGGACTACGATCCTGAACAGCCTAGCATCGTCAATATCTACGATGATGCAAACAACTTGTATGGATGGGCTATGTCTCAACCGCTCCCTATCGGAGATTATGAGTGGAAAACAGAGTTTGAAGGCTTTGACATGAATGAGATTGCTGACGATGCAGAGATTGGCTACATTCTAGAGGTTGACCTGAAATACCCAGAAGAGCTCCATGACCTTCATAACGATTACCCCGTTGCCCCAGAGAAGATAGAAATCACTCCAGAGATGTTATCTCCTAACTGCCAGCAGTTAACCACGGATTTAGAGTACAAACCCAGCAAAGTGGACAAGTTAGTCCCTAATCTGTGGCCTAAGGGAGGATACATTTTGTATTACAGAAATCTGCAATTATATCTTTCCTTAGGGATGAAACTTGCAAAGATTCATCGTATCCTCAAGTTCAAACAGCAGGCCTGGCTGAAGCCCCATTTAGAGTTGACCTGACTGAGGGCTCAAGCGATTACTAAGTTTGAGAAGGATTTTTTTTTAATTGATGAATAACTCCGTCCTCGAAAAAACAATGGAAGATGTGAGGAAGAGGGTCAACTTTAAACTTGTATCGGAACCATCCGTGTTCAAGAAGAATGTAGCTAAAGTAACCTACAAGAGGAGTGTGGTGTTCGTATCTGATGAGGAGAAGAAAGACCACTTCGTGGGGATGGACATGAAGCGTTCTACTAAAATCCTTGAGAAGTCTATTTACACAGGGTTTAGTGTGTTAGACCTCTCTAAATTGTGGATGTACAACTTTCACTACAATCATGCTTCGCAAGTACGGAGCAGAGAAGGTTAAGTTACTGTTCACAGATACTGACGGCCTAATGTACCAAATCCAGACGGATGTTTATAAAGACATGCAAGAGGACCAAGATCTTTTCCACACCTCTGAATACCCTCCAGAGCATTTTCTTTTCAGTGAAGCCAACAAGAAAAAGATTTGAAAGTTTAAAGATGAGAACGCTGGGAAGCGTTTGGAGTTTGTTGGTCTTCGTGCAAAAATGTATTCTATGGTGACTGAAGAAGGAAAAGAAAAGAAGACAGCAAAATGAGTCAAGAGACCAGTCCTAGCAAAGGAAATTAAGCATGAGGATTACAAGAGATGTCTATTCACCAAGCAAGAATGTGAACACAAGATGGTCAGCTTGAGAAGTGAGAAGCATGAGATGTTCACGTTACAACAGAACAAAAAATCGCCGTCCCCCTATGATGATAAGCTGTATATTCTAGGGTACGGGTATAGCACAAGATCCCATGGTCATTGGAGAAACCAAGTACCAAGAGAAGAAGTAAGAGCTAATGAGAACGTTTTCTATCACTTAGGAAAAAGGGCGGCCTACGCTTGGTAGAAGCCACATGTCCCGCTTTGTAACTTTAAGGTCTTTCAAACATAAACTATTATGAATAATAAAAGCCTGGTCTTCCTTTGCCTCGTCTATGTAAGGTTAGTTCTATCTCAGAGTCTTCTGACACATACTGTTCAGAGTCTTCAGAGTCTTCTGACTTATACTGTTCAGAGTCTTCAGAGTCTTCCAACTCCTACTGTTCAGAGTTTTCATATTGTCCAGACTTATACTGTTCTGAGTCTTCTTCAGAACTATAAGCTTCAAAGTCTTGTCATTCTTGCGATACTCTAGATCGCTTTAAAGGAGGCTTTCTAGGTACAACTGGAGGTCTCTTTATAGAATCCTTTCTAGACAGTTCTTTTGTAGGTTGATTTATTTGCTTTCTTGAGGGCTGTGTTTTAGACGTTTATTCTCTAGGTAGTTGTACACTGGATTGATTAATATTAGGATAGGAATGACAGCCTTCTAAAATGTCACACACCACTTGTTGTTCTTTCGCGGTTCCCGGTTGAATATCATTTAACAAATATCCATAGGGCTTTTCAGTTTCCTGCTCATAGACATCTATGAATTTAGGTCGATGTTTTGCAAATATGGGATCTGCTAGGATATCCACTTGCTTACGATCACTGGGGCTTCGAAACATGACAATATACTGAGTGTTGCGAGCAATGTCTGTATGGAGTTTTCCTTTAGCGAACATATTTTGAAGCAGTAAGATAAAACTGGCATTCCGGTGACGTCCTCGGGTAAATAACCGGGATATAATTGGACTATCGACGGCCTCCCCTATCAGGTCGTCAAACACAAATTTGTTATTGTGATCTGTAGAAATTTCACGTAAATCATCACTCATGTTTTCCGTAAGTTCACGCAATCCTTAAATAAACTTGATTTCGGCCTTTCCAAGCTGTTTTGGTAGAGTTTTATAACTGTCCTGCTACTGATTATAAAACCAGTAGATTTGACGGGGTTTTTCTCGGATTGGGGTACCGTATACAATTCTTAGTTCGAATTTGCTTCACAAAGTGAGTTTTCCCACCTTTAGTTGGTCCTACCACAATCTTATTAAACATATGTTCTAGTTGGAAGTTAGGGTAAGGACAGATCTCTAAATGATTTTGGGAAAAAGATTCAGTTGCCATTGTTTTACAATACATCGCTGATCTTAAATACGGTTGACGTTCTTCCACTGATAGTTGATGGACTTGCCGTAAATGATCCCTGAGTTTAAGAATATTCGCTTTACCACATATAGGACATACTTTTCTATATTTATAAGGCATGATGTTACGTCTTTCGTGTCTAAAGGCAAATGAACTATTAAAGAACTTGTTGTTATTTATAGATTTTCGAACGTTCCTATTTATGTAGGGACTGTGTAGGGGCTTAAAAAAAGAGTTCGAAAATTATGTAGGGACTGTGTTGGGACTTAAAAGAGTTTCAGCATGAAACTTAGAATAAATATCACGCACTACGAACACGTTCACGAAGACGTTCGCTTTATTGAAATTAGAAGTGAGTGAGTGAGTTCTGTGAGTCATTCATAATAAACGCGAGTGAGTCCCGTGAGTTATTAAAAAATAATCGCGAGTGAACCCCATGAGCTATTCATAATACACGCAAGATAGTTCATACGCGTGTACAATTCTCGATGTGCTCTCGAAGTGGACTTTCCAAAGTTATCACCCACTAAAATGCACTTAACTCTCAATATTGAACGCATTCAAACACTTGCACTATCAATTATTTCGCCAGGCCTTTCTTACGATGACAGCCTGTCAGTGTTCAACATGGCATCTTTAGGGGACAGACGCATAGATCAATGTGAAAAACTGTTTGATTCTATTGTATCTAATCCTGATCATAAGTTGCATCATTTTCTCCCTCCCAAGAACTATTGTCATTATAACCTCAGAAGACCACGCAACTTTGCAAATCCAGTCATGCGTGCCAAGCGTTTTTCTAGCACATTTCTGCCATCTATGTGCAGGCGTTAGCAGTTGTTGTATAAAGTTTAATTCATCTAAAGTATAGTTTTTATAAATTAGAATTCTAAAGTATAATTTTGTAGATTTTTTTTTTAATTAGTACATTTTCATATTTTACGTTTTGTATCAATTGTATTTGTAAATTCATGCAATTCAGCCTTGGAGGGCTGCCATATGATTTGTATCAAGAAGAAATATATGAGCGGGTCTGTCTATATCTACTGCAAAAATTTAGTATCTCGCTGATAAATCATGTTTGGGAATTGGGAGCCCTAAACCGCGAATTCGATGAAGCTTGAGAGGCGAGGATACGGCCGCTTTAACATTTTCGGCTTCTAAACTCAAGTGAACTCTGATTTGATTTCGGAAAACTATATATTCTAGATCGAGATGTGTAAGCGATACGTTCGGTATGTATGTATAAGACTGTTGGTTCAAGTCTCCTTTTACTAGCTGTGATATATAAGGTTAGAGTCGCTTAGCTTTGTAGAGTTGATTTCGGTAGTTTTTTTCACTAACATAGATAGAAACTTATTCTAAGACATGAAATGTTAGAGGACAGTCATATTGGATGAACTAAGAGGTTTGAGTGCGTTTACCGGTTCAAGTCCGCTTTCAGGATTCCTTAACCCTATAGAGCATATAGTTGGTTTCTTCTCTGATATTACATATCGCATTTAACTCTATATGTGCTATGTGAGGACTTCTGTTTCAATGAAGTCTACAGGCGACAAATTCTAGATTGCTTTATAAAAATAAACATATCCCTGATATTCTCCTGAATTTGATATTCTCTACACACCTACCAAGCGGCTCAGGATCAACAGGATAGAATAAATTCTTCTTTACATACCTCGGTTGACGGGTCTCGTTGGGACAAAGAGACCTGGCGAACCACCCATACATTTCTTCTAAAATGAGTTGGCGCAGTAGGACCCGTCAAACTGTCCATACATTTCTTTTAAAATGAGTTGGCGCAACTTGACCCGTCAACCATCCATACATTTCTTCTTAAATAAGATAGGACAAAGAGACCCGTCGAACCACCCGTACATTTTCTCTAAAATGAGTTGGCGTAGTAGGACCCATCAAACTGTCCACACATTCCTTCTAAAATGAGTTGGCGCAGTAGGACCCACCAAGACCTTTCATACATTTCTCCTAAAATAAGATAGGACAACTTGGACCCGGCGAATCATCCATACATTGCTTCTTATTCAAACTGGGACAAAGAGACCCGGCGAACCATCCATACATTACTTCTAAGAATGTCAACGAGACCCACCCAAACGTAGCTATTTTGGAAGAAATGTATGGGAAACCAATCAGAGACTGGCATTTAGATCAAGTGATACTTCTTAACCAATCAGAGACTGGTGGGTCCTTACAGGAACCCACCTAATATGGTGTTGTTGTTGTCGCTCTCAACCAATCAGAACCCTCCATTTTTAAAAACATACCCATATATGGATAGGTGGGTCCTCTGTCCCAGAACCCCCATTTTAACACTACTGTCGTCTGTCAGTTAAGCCATGATGTTATTGGCTGTTAAGACTCGTAATCAGTAATTGGTGCGTTTCGATCCGTCTATTGTCACAGTTAAACAGTCGTCTATTGTTAGTGAAATTGTCAGTTCTCCAGTCGTTCTCTCGTAGTTAGTTTTGTTTGATCTCGTCAATAAGTCGTTTGTACGTCGCTGGTAACTGTTGGCTACGATTCAGTGGCGTTTGTTCTAAGTTAGTAAACCAGCTTTCTAAAGTAAGACGTTGATAGTAGTCTTAAGAGTACGTTATACATGTCGCAGAGTCCTAGTCAATTCGATGTTTCGTCTGTAAATGGTGCTCAGCAATGTGGTTGTTGACGTCACCATTCCTCGTCGCTCGTTTGTATTCGGTCAGTCGCGTGCTTAGGTTTCTGCCGGTTTCACCAATGTAAGAAGCCTGGCAGTCGCAGCATTTGATCTTGTATACTGCTCCCTGTTTGTCCTTCGGTTTGTCCTTGTCCTTGACATTAGTAAGCAGTCGCCGTAAAGTGGTTATCGGTTTGTGTGCAACGCTCATATTGTAAGGTTGTAATATACGTGCAATAGTTTAAGAGGTGCCTCTGATGT